AGTTGGTCCATGTCCAGCGTGGTGCAAAGGTGAAGGAAAACCCAGGTTCAAGTCCTCCCTCAGCCACAATATTCACCAATGGATGATAGGCCACTCCTGACTCTCAGTCCAAACAGCCTCACTAGAGGATGGGAAAACTGAGGGATGGGTTTCCTGGAGAAGATACATAGTAGACAGATGGGTAGGGTCCTGGAGGCCAATGCAGATACACTTTGCTTGATCACTGTTCAGATCTGAGTTTGGAGCCAGAGCTTTGCTTGGTCCTCCAAAGATGCCCCAACAGTCTGCTGGTGCTCACCAGCTTCCCAGGGACTGAACCATGGCTATAGACAGAGATCAGCCTGTCCTTGCTTCATGCCATTGCTTTTCCACATTTTCCTGAGGGCAATGTTGGGTTTTATATCAGAGGAACCAGCAGGGCTCTATCCGCTCTGATGGGCAAATCAAAATATTTCTGTCTTCAATGTCAGGTCCTCCCTGATAGATTTGATCATGGGTGCAGCGCAGACATTTGCTCAGCTATGCACACACAGAGTTTATAGATGGATGGATTGGCTGGCTGGTGGTATTTCTGTGTTTTTGTTTTTGCTTCAATGAAAGAAGCTGTTACTTCCAGCTAAGCCTTTAATAACCAAAGCCACAAAGTCCTTCAGGCTAACTGATAAACTGTCAGTGGAGAACAACTGTTTGGACATTATTGGCTGAAAGAGTTGTCATGACTCCACTTTCTAGGATCCAGGCCGTCTTGCAGGAAGACGGCAGCATGAGTTTTGGCCTCAAATATGTCTGCTGGCCAGCGGGCAGCTGTTTTAGGGACCTCTGTGTGTCTCCTCTGATGAGAAAAGGCAGGAACACAGACCCAAAGGCAGCCTTGAGCTACTCAACTGTCCTTGAGCATTTTTGAGAACCTGACCTGGCCATGCTAAGAGACCTTGACAGGTGTGTGCCTCAGAGGCAGCCTTGCAACTGACCCCTTTAGAAGGAGTCCAAGACTCAGGGGTCGGTCCCCAATTTGAGGTCCTGTCAGCCTTCTCTGGTAGCAACTGGTTGCATGGCTTGGAAGCAGAAAATATACAGGTGTTCACACAGCATGCTTAACCAAGTCAGCTTAGCAGAGGCATTTGCCCAACATACTAAGCTTGATTAGTTTTAATCTTGACTAGATTTAAGATGTTGTGTGAACCCAGTCCATTCAGTCAGCTTACAGATCAGCCTACTAAGCAAACCCAGAAAACGGGTTAACCCAGTAACAGAGTTAAGGGTGTCATGTGAACAGAGCTGCTGCATTCTTGGATTGATGGACGATGTGTCAAGGGGATATTGACTCTCAGTGACCAGACAGATGGGTTTTCTCCATGACATTCTGCCCCTAACCTCTCAGATGGTAACGGAGATCCAGAGCAGATTCATTTTGTATTTGTGTTAACATCTCACGAATGCCGGGGCAGTTGCAAACCACAGACTGGAAAAGTGGAAAGAGGAGAAAGAAGAATCAGGCAGAGTGTGATGCTCTGCTAAAATATTCGATCATTGCACTTGCCAGTCGCTCCGATTAATAACCCATCTCCCTGGACTCAAGAGTCTGAGTTATGATCCAAAGCACCAAGTTCATATTATTCTTGAGCTTAGTTCAAGAGGAAAGGTTTTCCGAAGGAAACACTCCAAATCCTTAGCCAAGAGGCTTGGTCATCTAGCAAGCTGCAGTCCTAGAATATACAACTCCCTTGCAGGGTGAACAGACACACAGGTGCAAACTTGTGCACAGGTCCAACTCAAAGAGGAAACAGATATAAAAGATATGTAAAAGCTTTAATCCCTAATCTACAGCTCACTTGTCGGGTGAATAAATACACAAGTGCAGGCAAGAGGAAAGACCAGTGCTCAGCAAATCATACATTTACACATGCATGCATGCACACACAGAAAAACCCATGGGATACTGATAACAAAGAGCAAAGCCTATAATTTCAAAGGATAAAGATGCTGTTTGCACTTTGAGTAATTCAAGGAACCGTCACCAAAAACAAGACTCTACACCTGAGTGTAGCTCACCATCAGTCCTGTGGATGTACAAGATGAACCTGGACTGCAGGTGTGCAATTTGCACACACTCCACATTGCTGAGAGGCCGGTTTCCGTGAAATTAAGGATGTGCCAGATGCCTAGAATGTTCCATCCCGAATCCCAAATTAAAGCCATTGCTGTCCATTGGCCCCATACTGGAGGTCTTGGCAGGGGTGTCTGTAGGATGTGGTCGAAGAAGTCAAGATGGTGGGTGTAATGCTGTGGTCAGAGCTCCACCTGTTTTCTATGTGCGTCAGGTGCATCGGACCACACCCTGTGGAGCCCCCAGTCTCACAGCAGATGCGGATTTCTCAAAAGCACCCAGGCCCCTTTCAGAGAATAGACTTACGCTCTCAATTGCTCTGCATCCAAGGAAAGGTTCCCTGAGCAGGAGATGACCTCCAGCTCATTGTTGGCAGGACTATGAAATAAGAGAATCAGTACCACCGACGAGGGCATATATGCAAGCAGTTACTCAGATTTGTTTCTTTGGCATTTGCTCAATTTTTTTTACTGCTTTAATCCTTTCACGCAGTGCTTCTCGCCCTTGGCAACTTTAAGACATGCGGACCTCAACTCAGGCTGGCTGGGGAATCCTGGGGGCTGAAGTCCACGTCCCAAAGCTGCCAAGGTTTTATTTTGCGTGGGTGTCCGTATTGACCTGGGATTCCCAAAAAAAGGCATCATGGAGCTTCTCCATCCATCTCCCGGAAACTCCTAAGGTATAAGAAATTGGAGTCACAGGAAATGCTGCATTTCATGTTATGGCTTCTCTGGTGACTAAGGGTGGTCTGGTCAACCTTCCCTTGGCCTTTTGGAGACCAAATATTGTATGGATGTTACCAATGCTTTTTTTTTCTTTTACAATTTCCACGCAACTGATGAGCAAATGATTTTCCCCAATTTCTCCAGTAGATGTTACCAACTGGTTTTCTAGAAGAAGACTCCCCCATTTGCAGTGGAGATATATCTGCAACTCTCAGAAATCCCCTCTGGATGAGGAATTCTCTCTGGGGCAGGGATGAGGTAAAAAAAGTCAAAATGATGACCACCATCTTGACTTCTCTGACTCCTCCTAAAGACACTCTGCGAGGCCAGAGACTTTCCCGGGGACTGACCGGAAGCAGGGAGGCTGAAGACATTTGGAGAAAGAGCAAGTTGTGTCAAAGATCTGATATTCCCATCCAGGGCTGGGCTTCATGCTGAATGAATGCCACAACATCTCTCCAGAGAATTTTCTCCAAATTCTCTTTTTCCTTGGGAAGTAAAGTGGATTCTTTTCCATTGAACAAGGGAACTGATACGGAAACATGACAGAGAATATTGTTCTCCCAGCAATAGAGTTCAGGTTGTTGTCCCAAAAAGAAGGGGGTCTCAAAAGGGTTGCTGTTGAAGCAGAGGCTAAAAAAAAAAATCATTGCAATTTCTCTTCTATCTTACGAAAGAAGGAAGGAAGGAGAAACAGAGATGGAGTGAGAGAGAAAGAAGAAAGAGAGACAAAGAAAGAAGAAAGAATGGAAGAAAGAAAAGAAAAGAAAAAAGAAAAAAGAAAAAAGAAAAAAGAAAAAAGAAAAGAAAGAAAGAAAGAAAGAAAGAAAGAAAGAAAG